ATTTGTCCTTTTTAGTCCATACATTTTTCAAAATCTTCATTTCAGTAATTCCTTTATATCAGTGTAGATAGTTTCTTATTCCTCAGTATCTCTCTCATGATAGCCAACACTTAGTACAGAGATCCCTGGGGTGCTCTGTAAATGTCATTTGAAGTAAGGAGTTAATGGCATTCAGATAGCAGTTACAATTTTATAAACCCAAATTTGAATTTAATTTTTAATTCCCCACTTACTCCTCCCCTAGTACCTGTTATGACCACTGGTGCAGTTCCCCGTTGGAATTCCTCACCTCTTTAACTGAAGTGAGTGATCAGTCCAGATGACCTCATGTCCTATTTTTTAAAATTTTTATTTATTTATGATAGTCACACACACAGAGAGAGAGAGAGAGGCAGAGACACAGGCAGAGGGAGAAGCAGGCTCCATGCACCGGGAGCCCGACGCGGGACCCGATCCCGGGTCTCCAGGATCGCGCCCTGGGCCAAAGGCAGGCACTAAACCGCTGCGCCACCCAGGGATCCCGACCTCATGTCTTATTAAACAATCCTATTCTTGGGGTGCCTGGCTGGCCCAATCAGGTGAGCATCTGACTCTTGATTTCAGTTCAGGTCAAGAACTCAGGATCCTGAGATTGAGTCCCGCATGAGGCTCTACTCTGGGCATGGAATCTGCCTAAGATTCTCTCTCTCCCTCTGCCCCCCATCCTGTGCTCACTCTCTCTGTCTCTCTCTTAAATCCAAATAAAACCAATCCTATTCTTTAGCCTGACGTGACTACTATTTGGTCCTGTGATTTTATACCTAAACTATTACAATTAGCATTGTAATAGACTCGGACTCCAGCATTACTCCCTCTGGTATGTTATTGCTCTTGCTGTTGGAATCCTTTCTAACACAGAATTCTGAATATTTTACTCTTTGTGCAAACATTCCCCATAGCCCTTTGCCTTGAGATTAAAATCCAGGCACATTTCAGTGAGAAGAAGCGGCCCTCCTGTAAATTCTCTAAATATATCCAGCTCCACCCACTCACACAGCTAACATTTGAGCTCGGGTTGGTATTTTCAGCTATTACACATATTAAGATCTTTTGTGTTACTGGGCCACAAGCCTGGACTAGCCTCTGTTCTCCTCTTTGCCTAGAATGCCTTCACCTTCTGTTATGCCTGGAAAATGCCAACACATCCATTAAGATATTGTTCCAAGTTTTTTGCCAGATGTAAGAATTCTGAGTCCCCTGAGTCTGCTTCTCTGCCATTACTTACTAAGTATTTATGGAACTGAAATCCTTCACTGTATGTTCATCTTCCTGGCCCTAATTGGACTCTTAAGCTTCTCTTGCATCTGTGTTGCCAAGTTCCATTTGCAGTCCAAGATAGAACATGTCACAGTGCTGAGCCCTAGCAGGATGCTCAGTCCACACTGACTGAGTGAATTCTTGTGCCAGAAACATCTAAGATATCTGCCAGTCCTCTTTCACTGATATGGCCCTCCTTATCTTCTTGTCCCCACTCTATCACTGGGATAGTTCTTGCTGACCTCATAATAAGTATGACATAAAATGATAATCACCATAACCATTCTCCATCACTTTCTCTAAATCTGTGAGTTTTATAATACATGAAAAGGTTGTATAAGAAAAGCAGTATGTCTCCATTATTCACAGTCCATGGAAATACCTTGATAACCAGTTCATACTCTGGACCTGGATTAAGATCATTTTACATGGATTCACCAGTTTATATTACTACAGTATATTTCCTAAAGAAATGTTCCAATATGGGCACAAATGCTTATTTAAATACTAGCATTTAAAATCAGATCTTGGGATCCCTGGGTGGCGCAGCGGTTTGGCGCCTGCCTTTGGCCCAGGGCGCGATCCTGGAGACCCTGGATCGAATCCCACGTCGGGCTCCCGGTGCATGGAGCCTGCTTCTCCCCGTGCCTATGTCTCTGCCTCTCTCTCTCTCTCTCTCTCTCTCTGATGACTATCATAAATAAATAAATTTAAAAAAAAAAAATCAGATCTTGAGGGGCACCTGAGTGGCTTAGTCAGTTAAATGTCTGTCTTTGGTTCAGGTCATGATCTCAGGGTCCTGGGATCAAGCCCCATATACTGAGCAGGGAACCTGCTTCTCCTTCTGCCTCTGCTCCCCCCTTGTGTGTACACTCTGTTGCACATGCTCTCTCTCTCTTTCTCTCTGTCTCTCAAATAAATAAATAAAATCTTTAAAAATATAAAACATAAGGATAATAACATCAGATATTGGATTTCATCTTAACCTTGACCCTAACCTTGACCTTGAGCACTGTTTACAAAACATTTTCCCTGGTTGCTTTATTATAATCAAAAGTTTGTAATTAAATGCCAACAACTGACAGTTTAACCACCGCATCAGAGTTTAACATCAAATTCTGAGGGGCTGACTTTTTTAAATATAAAATTTTCTTTGTAAGATTTCAAAGAAAACTAGGAAGAATTTCAAGAGAGAGCATAGTGACTGGTTTATTTTGGTAAAGACATACCTGTTATAGGAAGCTAATCAACATTTCTTGTGCCTGAATTGATGACATTGTTACATTTCACTGGAAGGCCATAATAGCATATGTTTAATAAGGGAAAGTATTGCATTGATTTTATAACTGTAGATATATATATATATATATATATATATATATATATAGCACTATTCCAATGACTATGATGTGCCTTAATCACATTTTTCCCCTTTTTTGTTATTGCAGAACTCAGTTCTTATACAGTTGATCATTTCCAGTGTGTCATCCAAATCCATCATTAAGGAGTAATAAAACATTTCATGGCTCTTTTGTTTTGAAATGAACAGCAGTGGATGTCACATTGCATTTTTCCAAGTAAATTTAAGAGTGATGGATAAACTAACTATATACCATTTATTTGGAAGAAAAAGTACAAATGGGGAGGTATAGTAACTTGTATGCAAAAATTCTCTGGGACCAAAAATTTATGTATGCAAAGAACAGGAAAAAAATATTGAGAAATGTTTTGTGTTGTAATGGATTTTTTTTTATTTATTTATGATAGTCACACAGAATGAGAGAGAGAGGCAGAGACACAGGGAGAGGGAGAAGCAGGCTCCATGTACCGGGAGCCCGACGTGGGATTCGATCCCGGGTCTCCAGGATCGCGCCCTGGGCCAAAGGCAGGCGCCAAACCGCTGCACCACCCAGGGATCCCATGTTTTGTGTTGTAAAAAAAAATTAAACAATACCCTTATAAAAGCACATTAATTAGAAAATATATCAATACTTCTATTTCTCAGTTAAGAAATTTTTAGAAATGTTAGGGAAAGAAATACTGTTGAACTGTTTTTGCTAAACCTTTCTTTAATGTATTCTGCCGTTTTATTATAACTCAGAGGCTGAGTGATGTTTTTATGGTCGTTAATTTTTCCATATTTTTATAAACTTTAAAATACAAAAAAAGATCCAAAAAGTAATACCAAACACCTCTAATCTTAGCACTGAAAAACTCCAAAGTAACTTCAAATATTTTTATAATCTGGACTTTTTATTTTTTTAAATATTTTATTTATTTATTCATTAAAGACACAGAGAGAGAGACGCAGAGACACAGGCAGATGGAGAAGCAGACTCCATGCAGGAAGCCTGATGTGGGACTTGATCCCGGGACTCCAGGATCACACCCTGGGCCAAAGGCAGGCACTAAACCGCTGAGCCACCCAGGGATCCCCTATTCTGGACTTTTTAAAATTTTAAGTCATATCTACACCCAATAGGGGCTTGAACCTACAACCCTGAGATCAAGAGTCCCAAATTCCAGGAATAAACCAGCTAGGCACCCCCGTATTCTAGACATCTAAAATTTACATACTTTTACACAAATGTGGGATTACAAAACTCATACCTTTTTCCTCTTAATAATATAACAGTACATTCCCTTTTTCCCCATTTCTCTGTCCCTCCAAATATATATTTTTTTAATTTTTAAAGATTTTATTTATGAGATGCCTGGGTGGCTCAGTGGTTGTCTGCCTTCAGCTCAGTGTGTGATCCCGGGGTCCTGGGATCGAATGCTACATTGGGCTACCTGTGGGGAGCCTGCTTCTCCCTCTGTGTCTCAGACTCTTGTCTCTTCGTCTCTCATGAATAAATAAATAAAATCTTTTTAAAGAAAAATAAATAAAAATAAAGATTTTATTTATTTATTTGACAGAGAGGGAAAGAGCACAAGCAGGGGGAGCAGCTGAGGGAGAGGGAGAAGCAGATTTCCCCCTGAGCAGGGAGCCCGATGTGGGGCTCCAACCCAGGACCCCGGGATCATGACTTGAGACAAAGGCAGATACTGAACCGACTGAGCCACTCAGGTGCCCTTCTGTCTCTCTAAATATTATTCTAAAAGATAATTTAAGGATGCATAACATTGTGTCATATGGATGTACCATAATGTGTTTATCCCATATTAGCATTAATTTCATTTGTTTTCATTCACTCTACATGACAACTTTTTGAGAAAAAAATTGTAAACATCCTTTGCTATAAATCTGTATGTCTGGATCCTATGACAGCTCCAGCCCTCAGCCCTTCTCTGCAGATCAGACTCCATGTGACGAAGACGCTGTCATCACATGAGTGCCGGACAGATAGTTCTAAACTAACATGTGTGGAATTGCACTGGATTTTCTCCATTCCACCCCAAATGTGCTTCTCCCCATTTGTCTTGTTTCACTTCTCCAAACTTTACTCCTTTCCCAAGAGAGCCAGGCAAAGCCTACTAGGTGTTGCTTTTCTTCCTTTTTTTCTTTCCTCATTCCCCACATGTAATTCACCAGTACATTTTAAGTCAGTTTTCTAACACACCCTCCCACTGCTCCAGTACCGCCTGGTCTATTTGGCTTGCTTGGGTTCGGATCGCTGTCACTTCCCACTGGCTCGCCCCGTGACCACTCTTGACACCTGTCACACCTCTCCTCTGCTCACCACCCTGCAGGGGGCTCTCACAACACCCAGATAAAGTCCAGACTCTTCTGGCTGCTGCCAGGGCCCCATATGACAGTCACCTGCGCTGGCTGCCTTTCCTCTTCCACCACTCTCTTCCTCTTTGGCTCTTTGTCTGCCATGCTGGCTTCTTTCTGCCTGGTAGAAAATCCCCTCCCTTCACACTCAAGCTTCCTCTTCCCTTTTGCTCAGGGTCCAGTGGACATGCCATGGCCCAAAGAGGCTTCCTGCCCAGTGCACAGTAAAGAAGCCCCAACTACTTTCAAACAGACCTCCACATTTTGTTTCCCACGTATGTGTACTAGTTCTTAAATACTCATGTGTTTGTTTATTATACATCTACACATCAGAATGTTAAGCTCCGCGGAAGCAGACAAAAGACTCGGTCTTACTCACTCACAGCTCTATCGCCAGAACCAAGAATAGCGCTTTACTTTGTGGTGGAAACTAAATATTTACTAAATGAACAAATAAACCATGGAGATGTGTTACCATAATTTGTATTAAATAGAATTTCTCAGTCAAAAACTTTTTGACTTTTTGCTTCTCAGCCTTTACTGCCCATATTTACAAAATGCCAGTGTTTCTTCCCATCACCCATTATATGGCAGGGTTAAATTTACCACCCCGCCCCCAAATCCAGCAGGGCATATATAATTTTGTTTTATCAGTTTAGTACATAGTATTTAACCAATTTTTAAAATTTTTCATATTACTTTCTATCTTTAGGGCCAAAATAGTTTGAAGTTTGAAAATCTTTCTTGGGGCTCCTGGGTGGTTCAGTTGGTGAAGAATCTGCCTTCGGCTCAGGTCATGATCTCAGGGTCCTGGGATGTAGCTCCCTGTCAGGCTCCCTGCTTACCAGGGAGCCTGCCTCTCCCTTTGTCTGCTACTCTGCCTACTTGTGCTCTCTCTCTCTCAAATAAATAAATAAAATCTTAAAAAAGATTTTTAAAATATTTTTCATTAGAAGCCCACTCCTTTTCTTTAAAAAAAAAAAAGATTCTGTTTATTTGAAAGAAAGAGTTGTGAGCAGGGGGAGGAGCAGAAGGAGAGCGAGAAGCAGACCCCTGCTGAGCAGGGAGCCTGAGGTGGGGCTCAATCTCAGGACCCCGGGATCATGACCTGAACAAAAGGCAGATGTTTAACCAACTGAGCCCACAGGCGTCCCTCACTTCTGACCCAATCCATGCAGGCCACATGTATCTGATGATGTCTGAAAATAAAGGAGGAAGCAAATGGGTACACATGTGGGGATAGAGGAAACATTCCTCAGCACCTCAAAAGCCATCTATGAAAAGCTCACAGCAAATATCATTCTCAGTGGGGAAACACTGGGAACCTTTCCCCTAAGATCAGGAACACAACAGGAATGTCCACTCTCACCACTGCTATTCAACATAGTATTAGAAGTCCTAGCCTCAGCAATCAGACAACAAAAAGAAATAAAAGGCATTCAAATTGGCAAAGAAGTCAAACTCTCCCTCTTTGCAGATGACATGATACTGTACGTAGAAAACCCAAAAGACTCCACCCCAAGATTCCTAGAACTCATGAAGCAAATCAGCAGTGTGGCAGGATACAAAATCAATGCCCAGAAATTAGTGGCATTTCTATACACTAATAATGAGATTGAAGAAACAGAAATTAAGGAGTCAATCCCATTTACAGTTGCACCCGAAAGCATAAGATACCTAGGAATAAACCTAACCAAAGAGGTAAAGGATCTATACCCTAAAGACTACAGAACGCTTCTGAAAGAAATTGAGGGAGACACAAAGAGATGGAAAAATATTCCATGCTCATGGATTGGAAGAATTAACATTGTGAAAATGTCAATGTTACCCAGGGCAATTTACACATTTAATGCAATCCCTATCAAAATACCATGGACTTTCTTCAGAGAGCTGGAACAAACCATCTTAAGATTTGTGTGGCATCAGAAAAGACCCCAAATAGCCAGGGGCATATTAAAAAAGAAAACCATATCTGGGGGCATCACAATGCCAGATTTCAGGTTGTACTACAAAGCTGTGGTCATCAAGACAGTGTGGTACTGGCACAAAAACAGACACATAGATCAATGGAACAGACTAGAGAATCCAGATGTGGACCCTCAACTTTATGGTCAACTAATATTCGGCAAAGCAGGAAAGACTATCCCCTGGAAAAAAGACAATCTCTTCAATAGATGGTGCTGGGAAAATTGGACATCCACATGCAGAAGAATGAAACTAGACCACTCTCTTACACCATACACAAAGATAAACCTCAAATAGGATGAAAGATCTAAATGTGAGACAAGATTCCATCAAAATCCTAGAGGAGAACACAGGCAACACCCTTTTTGAACTTGGCCACAGCAACTTCTTGCAAGATACATCCATGAAGGCAAGAGAAACAGAAGTAAAAATGAATTATTGGGACTTCGTCAAGATAAAAAGCTTCTGCACAGCAAAAGAAACAGTCAACCAAACCAAAAGACAACCTACAGAATGGGAGAAGATATTTGCAAATAACCTATCAGATAAAGAACTAGTATCCAAGATCTATAAATAACTTGTTAAACTCAATAGCAAAGAAACAGACAATCCAATCATGAGTTGGGCAGAAGACATGAACAGAAATTTCACAGAAGAAGACTTGGCCAATAAGCACATGAGAAAATGCTCCGCATCACTGTCCATCAGGGAAATACAAATCAAAACCACAATGAGATACCACCTCACACCAGGGAGAATGGGGAAAATTAACAAGGCAGGAAACCACAAATGTTGGAGAGGATGCGGAGAAAAGGGAACCCTCTTACACTGTTGGTGGGAATGTGAACTGGTGCAGCCACTCTGGAAAACTGTGTGGAGGTTCCTCAAAGAGTTAGAAATAGACCTGCCCTACAACCCACCAATTGCACTGTTAGAGATTTACCCCAAAGATTCAGATGCAATGAAACGCCGGGACACCTGCACCCCGATGTTCATAGCAACAATGTCCACAATAGCCAAACTGTGGAAGGAGCCTCGGTGTCCACCGAAAGATGAATGGATAAAGAAGATGTGGTTTATGTATACAATGGAATATTACTCAGCCATTAGAAACAACAAATACCCACCATTCACTTCGACCTGGATGCAACTCAGGATATTATGCTGAATGAAAAATGTCAATCGGAAAGGGACAAACATTATATGGTCTCATTCATTTGGGGAATATAAAAATTAGTGAAAGGGAATAAAGGGAAAGGAGAGAAAATGAGTGAAAATATCAGTGAGGGTGACAAAACATGAGAGACACCTAACTCTGGGAAATGAACAGAGGGTAGTGGAAAGGCAGGTGGGCGAGGGGTGGGGGTGACTGGGTGATGGGCACTGAGGCGAGCACTTGGTGGGATAGCACTCGGTGTTATGCTATATGTTGGCAAATTGAACTCCAATAAATTTTTTTTTAAAAAGTATTTTATTTATTTGAAAGAAAGAGTGTGAGCAGGGGGAGAGGCAGTAGGAGAGCGAGAAGCAGATCCCCTGCTGAGCAGGGAGCCTGATGTGGGGCTCAGTCGCAGGATCCCAGGATCATGACCTGAACCAAAGGCAGATGCTTAACCAACTGAGCCCCCCAGGCGCCCCTCACTTCTGACCAATGCTTGCAGGCCACATGTATCTGATGATGTCTAAAAGTAAAGGAGGAAGCAAATGGGTACACATTTATTGAGATCCTGTTAGGCATCATACTTGTTTTCATTTAAGTATTTACGTGTTTGTCATTTGTTCTCATGACAACCCTAAAAAATAGATATTATCCTTTTTTTGTAGATGAAGGGATGTTCTCTGAGGGATTATGTTTCATGGAACTAACGGGTGGTAGAACTTAAATGTGTGCCCAAGTCTGGCCGGTGCCAAAGCCCCAGCTGCTAATGGGATGTCATAAAAATAAAAGGCTTAGGTCTATCATCCAAACGTCCTGAGCCTTAATCATTAAGTTTTAGTGTGGATTCTGGATATCAGTGTTCTATTCAGAACATTTTAAAAAGAAACAAGTGTCATTCCTTTAGAATATTTCCACAAACTTAGGTATCAGTTTTACTATGTAAAAGAATATTTCACAGGTAGAAATGGAAGAGACTGGAATCCATCATTTATCCAGGGAAAGAAATGATAAACTGCTACTGCATATTTCAACAAACCTTTTATTTATGCATTAATAAAATTGCATCATCAAAATTGGTGCAGATGGGGTTTATATCATATTCTAGACAAGCTTACAGGTGCAGAGACTTGCCTTCCTTCTCATAAAGGGTAATACATCCTTCATTCCAAGGTTGATGTGGAGCAAAAAGGCAAGAAACCATGAAGGGATCCATCCAGGTGGAGACCCTTTCTTTAGATCATATAATAAAAATTATGAATATTTATTTGTTTCCAAGAATAAGTAGATCATCACAGAAACGGCATGAGGTCAGTTTAGTGCGTTTGTGATATTTTTGAGTTTCCCAGAGCGCTAACTTCATAAAGAATGTTCAGAATGTCACTAAAATCACCGTTTGGGTACATAAAAGGTAGAAGAGTTGAGAATGGCTTACACTTAAAAAAAAATTAAGAGGTTTGAATCACTTTTATACTAGTTCTTCAGAGGTATGAAGGACCTTTTCATAATTGTTCTTTTTTTTAAAGATATTATTTATTTATTCATGAGAGACACACAGAGAGAGGCAGAGGCACAGGCAGAGGGAAAAGCAGGCTCCCTGCGGGGAGCCCAATGGGGGACTCCATCCCAGGACCCCGGAATCATGACCTGAGCCAAAGGCAGACGCTCAACCACTGAGCCACCCAGACTTCCCACGATTGTTCTTTTTTTTTAATTTTTTTAACGATTTATTTTTGTTTATTTATGATAGACATAGAGAGAGAGAGGCAGAGACACAGGCAGAGGGAGAAGCAGGCTCCATGCAAGGAGTCCGACGCGGGACTCGATCCCGGGACTCCAGGATCACGCCCTGGGCCAAAGGCAGGCATGAAACCGCTGAGCCACCCAGGGATCCCCCGATTGTTCTTTTTTAATCCCCAACATTTTGCAATAAAATTCAATAATGATGAAAAATTCCAAATGAGTTCACAGAAAATTTTAAGTT